AAGCGTTCTTGTTTAGTTCGGTTATTTTTAAGAGAATAATTTATCCAGTTCTAAGCTTGTTTTAATCCGATTTGGGTACCGTGCGTTTTTTTTTCTTAGCCATGCTGTTAGGTTGTGGTTTGTGGTGTTTAGTAAGCTTGCGTTGGTTAGTTTGGATTATTCTATAATTCCTTTCCAATAGGGTTGAAGGAAAGTTCGAAATGTGGTAAAACTGGTTAGAGTTTTTATCAGTGAAATTTAAAAGTTAAATTCATTATCTTAAAAATTCTTTGTGGTTGTGGATAGGATTGTGGGCGATTTAAATATTTGAATATTTAAAACTACAAAGAAGCGTCTTTGAAAAGGTTAGTACTGCTTTAATTTTCTAGGCAAACTTTTTTTATTTACTACTTTAAAATTATTAATTTAACGGCTTTATTTGGGAGGTGGAAATTATCAACTTGATTTCATTTTAAGAATATTTTCTGCATGTGGGGAAAAGAGCTCAAATATCAATTTATTGCTGCTTTGGGGGTAAATTTTACTGCTTCATTTATTGTAATTGGTTAATGAAAAATTATGTTTCTAGAAAAAAATTTTCTGTTTTTGTTTCGTTTTTCTTTTTTGTAGATGATTGATGATCGTGCCTGTGAAGAAATAAGAAAAAAAGAAAACATTTATTAAGAATGGTTAGTTTTGTTTCGAATTTATTAGAATAATTTATTTATTTTGTACTTACCTTATTCGTCGGGGTAGAATCCAGGCGGAAAAATGTCGTGGATTATTTTTGATGATGTTATTAGTTTAGCTACTAAGCGAATGATGTATTTAGTTTGGAGAAGTGGCCAAAGCAATTCGAGTGTGGTCGGGTTATTTATTGGTTTTTTGACAAGCAGGTTGGGTTAAAGCAATTTTTGGAGAGGGGAAATTTGGAGGGCTATTAAAATACTTCCTAGTTTTTTTTTATTTATTGGATGATCGGGGGTATTTGAGAATTATTTGTACATTAGGCTAAATGATCATTTCGATTTTGTTTTTTAGGCTAATTTAATATTTTTGCTTGCGGGTATTTCCAGGTCTAAGCTGGGACAATATTGTTGATTTTTGTTCTAGTTGATAGGGGAGGGTCGTAATTTTGAGGTTTTGTTTATTTCAGTTATCAAATTTGAGCGGGTTGCTTATTTTTGACCTGGAGGTCTTAAAGTTATAGTTAGAGATACGCTTGAAGGTGCTTTTTTGTCGGCTAAAGAATTCGTGTCAAAAATAAGGTGATGATTCGGAAAGGTTCTTATTGGCTGAATTTGAACTAGTTTGTTCAAGTGCTTTCCAGCATGAATTTTGAGAAATTGTCCGGTCCGTGAAAATATCTTCAAGAGGTGAAAATGTCAATTAATTTAAAGTGGTTTTTTAAATTCAACTTTCTTTAATATTTTAGATTGCGGGATGAATGTTTTGTCATCTTTTCGTGGCTGATTACGAAGTCGCAATGATTGTCCATGTGGAGATTTTTTTTTGATCTTGTGGTATAATTTTTTTTCTAATTTTTGATTTTCTTTTTTTGTTTGAGTGATTTTTTCTGTTGTCTAAATTTTTTAATATTTGTTTGGGAAGTTCTTTGTCCTTTTTATCTAATTGTTTTTGGATGGGGTACATATCAGTGCTTTGATTTTGATGTTGTTCTGGGCTATTTTGAATAACTTTAAGTTCTGTAAAAGAGTATATTTGAGTAAGTTCCCGAAATTCGTACTCTTTCGGGTAATAAGGTAAAAGATTGTTTCGATGTTGAACGATTTCTTTTTTGTTTAACTCTGTAAGTTTGTATGTTATATCAGTGGGTTTATCAATTTTTTGATACAGTCCTTTTCGGAGTGCTTGTAATTTTTTAGAGATTCCTTTTTGTGGTGTAAAATTTGGAATTAAAACGTATGTTCCAATTTTTAAATGTGTAGCTGGTGTGAATCGAGAATTTATTTGGGAATTAGTATTTTGTCTTTGTAAAATTTTTTTTGTTACTTATTGATAAATTTCATTATGTTTTTGGTCTCTGTTTAAAACCCATTCGGTTTGTGTACCGGAAGCTAATTTTAAAATTTGTGGATGATGAAAGTGATCTTCATTGTGGGTATGTAGTGGTAGATTATAACATGTTGATTCTATAGTGGGTTGACAATAACCTTGTGTGTTTTTGTTTAATTGGCATGTTAAGCAACCCTTGCATAAAACTAAAAAGGTTACCATAATTTCGGTGGAGGTTGCAGTGCGTGTTTATCGGGATGCAAAATACTGCTACGCTCAAACTCTGTTAGGATACAATTTTTTTTCTTTGCGTTTTCTTTGTTTTTCATTATATTGAAAGCTTAAAAATAAAAAATTTCTCCCTAGCACAATTTAAAATGTATTCATCTGATTTTTTATCCCAGTCATAGCCCAAAATCATCTCTAGGGTCCAACGTTTTGATTTTGTGACCCTAGTTTTGAAAAAATTGGAAAAATATGCCCAAATTCCTTATTTTTTGGTGGATTTCAGAAGTTTGGGTTGGGACGCGATAATTTCCCATGTTGATGTTCTGGGGCTGCTTTTATTAACTAATCTGAGTCTTAAAGGCTAGTATTGCGTCTCGCAAAATAAAATTTTACGATTTTTTGAAAAAGTTGAAAAATTTGACCTATAAAGTCCATTAAAAATTGTGCCATTTTTGGCCTGTTTTTCGAGGGTTTTTCGTGCAATTTATGTCTTAGACTTTTTTTTCTGTGCTCAAAATGGTGTCTAACATTTACGGACAACCATTTTCGGAGTGTCTGTAAGTTCATTTGTGTCACCTTTTAAATTCAGTTTTTTGGTACTCGCGTTTCTTCGTTTTGAAAATCCTTTCCTAATGTTTTGTTATTGTTTGTTAATAATTTTCTTTCTTAGTGTTTGTCTTTTTGTTTTTATGTATCCTATTGTCTGTCTGTGTAGTGTGATTACGAGGTCGTATTTTTCGTCGTTAATTAAACAATTGTGTATTATGATTGTTTGTTCGTTTGCTAAATTGTCTCTTGAAGTAAGGTTTAAGATGATGGATGCAATGTTTGGGTTAATGATTTCTAATGTCTTGAACTGTTAGTTCTTACAATTTTTTGTGGTTAGCTTAAATTGGGTCGTATTGTTGGGTTGGAGAGAAAAGCGTGTATTGATTCCTGAGAATAATTTTTTCTTTCTCGTGACTGATTCTAAGCTAAGATAGACCTACCCAATCTTACTTAGGGGTTGTGATATGTGATCAAGGGTTCGAGAATAGTAAATCGATCCACAAGGTTCAGGTATAATTAGCACGCAAGTAGTTCGTTAGATACTATTTGATGACTTACTAAATTTAAGTACTATCCTGGGTCAGTTAAGAGGGGTATCAAGTGAAGGATGAGTAACCGAAGTTCTTCACTGTTTATCCTAATTGGAATGTTTAGTTCTTGAAAAATTTCTGATAATTCTGTGTCTTTAATAAGGGTTGGGTAGTGAGTCGACGTTTGATTTCGTTAGACACTAATTCAATTTGGGAGGGGGAGAAGAAAATTGTTCTGTTTGATCCAAGGATAAGCCTTGATGATCAGAAATTTAGATAAAGTTAGTTTATTTTAGTTCAAGTGAAATTAATTTAAAGATCCAAGGGAAGTCTTGATGATCAGAATTTTTAGATAAAGTTAATTTATTTTATTTTCAGTGAAAATAATTTTAAGATCCAAGGGAAGCCTTGATGGTCTGTTATTTTAAATGAAATTAATTAAAGTGAAAACAAGGATAAGCCTTGATAACTTTTAGGTTTAAATGAAGAAAAGGTAATGTGTTTAGTTTTGATAATGTTAATGTTTTGAGATTTGCTGTTAAGTTTTAGGCGATGAAAGGATGATTTATATATACTAACAATTATGCTTTATAGTAACTAATTTTTGTATTTTATATTCAATAAATATTTTTTCCAAGATGTTTTTAATACTCGAGATTTTTAAGGAGAACGATTAGAGTTGTTTTTATCAATCGTTATTGTATAATAATTAGGTTTAGCGCCATGAAAGGTTATTGAAGATGTTTCTTCAAAATTTTATGTCAGTAAATGAAAATTTAATTTACTGCTCGAAGTATTCTAAATATAAAAGTTTGACCTCGTTTTGTCGATTTGTCATGAAATCGATTGGTGGATTTCTTCGTTGACGTACGTCGTCACTTGTCCGAGGTCTTCTTCCAATACCGGATAATTCTCGTATTGTTCAGAAAATTGGCTCTGATCTATTGAGTCGTGGAAACATTTCTACTAAATTTTTGTCAAATAACAATTTTTTTCAAATGTTGTATTTGTCTAATTCTAATCTATTTGTTCTAAATCTTGGTTAGTTAAGGGCTGTTCGAGACTTTTTGGTCGCACCAGATGAGTTATATCCTTTTGGCTATAACTCATAGAGTAATTTCAGATAAGATACACCATCTGCTCGTCGCGCTATCTTATTTTCGGCCGGATAGATTCGTGCAACTTCTTAGTCTAATACCAATCTTAATCTTAATCTTATATCTTCTAGTCTCAAAAGATCTAGTGTACACCGGTTTATGCGAGTTAGTTCCAGAATGAGAACAACTGTATTCTAAGTTTAATTCAAATTGCTCTGGTGTTGAAACTATAAGTAGTTTCAACACTTACAAATAAGTGGGTTGTTAGTTTGATGGAGTATGATTGGTAAGTATTTAATATTTTGTAGAGATAAAATGTCATAATAATAACCAATGATAAATACTAGTTTAGATCTGGTTCCAACTTGCACAATAACCGCAATCCTTGTTCTCATAGAGAATGACCTGATCAAAACGTGATATTGAAAAGCAAGCATTAGACAGGCGTACCTATTATGCAGCTGGTTGATTCCGATATAACAGAAAATATGATTAATTTTGTATATATTCAAAACACCAGCAGAATCAGAATGATTTTTCAAGGAAAAAAAAGAACTTATTACACGAATGTTTTTTGAAGCGCTGAGTAAACTATTAGCAGGTCGTCAGAAGCGTCTTGGACCTGCATACGCAATACCTCACGCCGGCAATAAGTTCTGGTTCGCACATGTCGGCTGGAAACGCACCCACGGGGCTGCCATTTTGGGCTACATACTCGGACTGGGTCTCCTTCTGGGCCAATGTATCACACCCGCTGTCTATTTCAGAATTGAAGACAACCAGGCAACATCAGTGAGCCATTGAGACCATTTTTAACAATTAACGGTTACTCTACAAGTAACACAGAGTGTTCTGACCATTTTGCAAAGAGGACTTTAGATTTTAACTTTAAGAAGCAAAAACCCAATAAACAATCATGTTTTTTAAAATGCGTATCATTTTTTTCGGCAAAAATTAATTTCTAAAAAATAATAAAAAACTAGAGCTTATGAGCATTTTGAATTCGACTTCAAGTTTTGAACCTGTATCTAATATGCAATTTGAAGGTATCTGTTTCACAGCTTTTGGGCGATGACCTATCGATTCAGCACGAGAAGTTTTCATCTGGGCAAATTGATGACCTAATAACGGACAGTGAGCATCATTATCTGAATGAGCAGCAACAGCAGCAGCAGCAGCAGCAGCAGCACAAGCACAACTGGGATTGGATTTCGGCAGGGGGCGAGTGTGGGGATGAGTCACTGAACAACACCTGTGACGTCATAGTATTCAATCTCTTCTCCAAGACATTTCACCTCTACTTTCTCTACATGACTGTATTCCAGGTGAGGATAACAAATGCCGAAATTGTACCCAAAACTCTTGCTTTTTTAAATTAAAACAGTTTATTTTCCATTTTTATTGAAGTTTTTGAATAAGTTTCCGTCTTCTTGTCAGCAACTGGAAAAATTTCTGAGGTAACGTTTTTACTAATTATACGACTGCACATAACATAAGTACTTATTTTTATCTGGAATTATTCGTGAAATATCAGCTAAAATCTTACCAAATTACATAAAAAGTTCACTTTCGATTTATATCGTTGGATTCTTTTTTGTGTTTCATAATTGGAAGATGCTTCTGGCTGGCACTTGTCTGGCGCTGACCAGTTGGAAGTTATTCACGCGTCACAAGATGGAGAGATTCTGTCTGCAGCAGGCTAGACTCATCTTCGACTTCATTCTCACCCTCACCTCCCTTATAAGGACATACTTTGCCTACTCTACCCGATCACTCTTAGCCCAAGGTCAACCGGGTTCAAATTCACTCATGTGATAGAGTGACAGCAACCTAGAAAATTTCTGAAAAGAATCTCCTAACTTTGCTCTAAATTCTGCAAAAATTCTAATTTTTCTCAAAAAATCTCCTTTGTCATTGCAGCTCCAATCAAGTCAGAACTAGCTTTACTATGATATCTCCATCTGGACCTTTATTCGCGGCACTTGATTTTGGGTAGAAAAAACTATCCGAATCCTTCCACATTTTTGGTGAGAGTGCTCGGTTGCAGAATTTTTATTTGACTTTTTTTAAATTCAGCAATGATACACAAGCCTTCTGATAAAATTGAAGCAGTGTATTGTTTGAAGGTAATATGTAGTGAATGCAGGAAAATTTGGCCAAACCAGGGTCTTTTTAGTACTCCGAGAGAGCTCGGAAAATCAATTTGGTCGACCTAAAAAAAGGTCGACAAAATTAATTTTCAAAGTTTTTTGAAAATCCGCCCCCTCGAGAAAATCTTAGATCCGCCCCTGACTCTACTCATACACTCCTAGTTTTTGATTAGTCTGAGAAACAAATCGCAGATTAGTTTTTCTCCACATTTGGAGAAAGTGTTTTTATTTTCTCTGAAATGCAAATTCTGGAAAATCTGAAACTTATGATAGGCGAGGAGAAAGTTTCTTATATGAATAGAAAGTTTTCCACAAAATAAAAATGAACATGCTAAAAACGCGTTTTTTGTTATTGCTGAAACACTACGGCATGAAAATGGCAGAAGAGTAAAAAGTCCGAAGATTACTTTCACTCTTTAGACAACTGTGAGCGAAATTCAACTTCATCCATAAAATATGCCAAAATCGAAAAAGAAAATGACTTAGTTTTGATGGGTGGATGTATTGGGAGATGCATGGACGAAACTCACCTCAGTAAATCGTAACTCTAGCTACCCAAAAGAATTTCGCCCTTGGTACTCTTTTATGAAACCTTTTGATGGACTATCAACCTTAGAGTTTTTGGTGCCAGTCCTCAAAAAAGCGCAGTTTTTAAGTATAAAACTTTCAAAAAATCAAATAAGGTTTCTCAGCTTGTTTTTTTTTAGCCAAAACTTAGACTGCGGCACAAAAATCAGCAACTTTTTGCGAATTAGGCATCTTACTATTTTGGGCAAACCCAGAAAATCAATTTTAACGGCGGCCCACAACGAATTAGTCTATATGTTTCGATTATTTTCCAAAAATAAACCCTTCTCATAAAAAATCCTAAGTAGAAAAGAAGAACCTGCCTCTTATTTTAAAACAAATAAAATATCGATAATCTTTGATGTGTTCTGTTCCCGAAAAAATGATTAAGACATGAATCACAATGTGGGAGATGTTTTGATTACTTTGCACGATTGCTGTCACTCTATCCGTGTCTGCACTTCTACATTTTAGACGAGGTTAGTTCAGGACGTAATCACAATATAGCCACCCGCATCTAAGTTTAGGCGTAAGTAATAGATTATAACAGATTATTATGATGATTTTTAAACAATTATAATTGGTTATAATTACCAGAATTAGGTGTTTAAAGAATTGATTATAATCGTGATATTTTTCAAAAGATTATAATCTCTTATAATCGGTTATAATTGATTATAGTTCTGACAAAAAAACACTTAAAATCAATTATAATCAATTATAATCGATTATAACCTCTTACTTTGCCGAATTTTGTCAATTCAAAACTATATTCGAATTATATCTTATGGGTTATTATTTTTGTGTCAATAAAAAATCTCTAAAAGAGAGATCTCTTGAACATTTTGGTTCATCTGAACACTAAATTTTTCCATGAAACAAAAGTTTTCATAGAGATCCTTTCATATGATCGGAAAAATTCCCGCGGTAAATGAGAAATAAATCTTCCGAATCAATCATTAAACTAAATCAATTAGCTGATGTTTTGGTGTTTAAAAAAGCTTAAAATATGCATCACAAAACAACTCTAATGGGGAAGAAATGAAAAAAAAATTATCAATTTGAATTAATTGGAAAACTTGAAAAATGTTTTTCTCATTTTTCATAGGAACCAACGTCTACAAAAAGCATAAAATATAAGCAATTTAGATGCAGCTTCGAAGACAAAATTGACAAACAAAAGGGATTATAATCAATTATAATCGATTATAATGGATTTTTGTGCAAAACTAAAGAACTAGAAATTTTAGTAAAAATAATGGATTATAATCAATTATAATCGATTATAATTGTATCGAAAAATAGACGAATAAATAATCGATTATAATTGATAATAATGGAATTATAATTAATTGCAAATTGATTTTAAAAAGAGAGATTATAATCGCTTACTAATTAATTAAAATCGATTGTTTCTCAATTTTAGTAAGACTGGTACTAAAATCGTAATATAATTGATTATTAATGCTTGAAATTGGATGCGGGCAGTCTTAAAATTTCCATTGATCAATGGCATCCCAGTATTTTTGATGGAATTTGCATTTTTGTTTTGATTTATTTCATTTCCAGTACATTGCAGTTGCTAGTTTTAGTTTTTTTCAAAAGTAAAATATTATAATGACAATATATTTGCCTTCGCGGTCTAAATTTCACATCTATAATGGCTTATAATGAAATGTTTTTGTCTCGGAAATTCATTATTTCAAAATGCAAATAAAAAAATAGCAAAAAACGTCATTTCAAATAATCCCTGAGCTACCTAAAAATGACTGTACAAATTAAGCACCATGTCAAGCCTTACGCTGAAATTCTATATATGAGCAACATCATAATAATTACAAATATTTTACATATCAAATTAAGCTCAATTTAATCAAAATTTAAAAAATATATAAAAATTTCTAAAAATCTGCTCCACGAAAACTTGGCGGTATCAGTTTATGCTTTCCTTGGGAAACTAATAATATTTTTTTGAATTTTTGAATTTTTGTCGAAAGTTCTAGTGCCACTTGCATATCAATCGCAATCTGCTATTATTTCTCGAATTTGTTTTTATTGTTTTCAATGCAGCAAAAAAAGCACTTTCTACAAAATATAAGAATAGCTGGTTGCTGTGTCTGAGTTTTTAAATAGTTATCCTCGTAAAGCGTTAAAAAATCAGGAAAAGAAATGATTACTGAGATAAAAATAAGGAGTAGAGGTGATTCAAGTCCAAATACCAATAAATGCAGTATAATTAGAGGCATAACAGTAGGTTTGGTCGGAACAAAAGCAATGAATGAAATCTGTTTAGGAGCTGGCGCATCTGGGTTGTAACACAGGGGCATCGCTGCAGCTGACCATATTAGGGGGAGTTATATTCTTACTTCAGATGGTTGAGAGCAGGCATCAATTTAACTCTTAAAAGGCCCAAAAATGAATAGAAGAGTTCGATTTTGGTATTTATTAAAGATTGCATATGATTGAAATCGATCACGCCTCATCGGAGTCAGTATCTGCAAAATCTCTACCAAAATAAGCACAAACTGCTGCAATTTTTACTTAAGTTTACACTATATTCGAAAAGATTCTCGTAAGACTTAGTTTGTCTATTTGAAAAATATATTTTGTATCCCCTAAAATTAATATAAAAGCAATAGCAAACAAGCAATAGTTTTTCGCAACAAAAAATGCCCATTTCTTATATGTATTTTTAAATTTCATATCCATATGTTGTCACAAATACAACCTAATCTACTCAATTTTTTGGGACCTTGCAGGCGTTCAAAAATTGCAAAATCTTGCTTTCAAAAAGGCCTTCAAAAATTATTGCAGAATTTTTTGTGGGTATCTTTACCTTTATAGTGCAACGATCGACTTTTCTCAAATTATGGTGCGGCCACCTGGAAGGTGGGAAAATTTAAAATTCGTTTTTTTTTTCCAAATTAGGTGCCTCAAATAAGCTTCAAAGCGTGATTCAAGATGCAGTGAGAAAACCCGAAAACTTCTCTAATATCGAGAAAAATTGGTTGTAAAGTTTCGATCTTAAAGCAAAGATTGGAAACTCAGTCAGAAAAAATTAAGTTTTTCCTAATGGTAATACAATAATAAAAGCAAGTAAACTTTTCAGAAAATATCCCGAGTCTCCGAGAAACGACCTAGTTTGTTCTTATCAAGAATCTGGTCTTCATTTGAAACATTAAAAAAATACCAAATAAAAATTGAGGAATTTATAAAAATTTGTTTCGTGTTCTCTATTGTTTTATCGAAATGATAGTACTAGAAAACATAAGGTGCAGCTTGCCCAGAGTCCGGATGATCTGGATGCCTAAATTTGGTTAGTTTTAGATGGCCGAATGTTAAATTGATGCAATGAGAGTGCATATAGAGTAATCTTGTTCTATTGTCACAACATTCTCTCCATCCGCGACTTCCTCGCCGACTTCGAAGTGCAGCAGCTCATGTTCCAGGCCACAAAATAAAAAACTGATGAGTCAACTCCGCGCTGAAATAAACATAATTTGAAGTAATTTAGACAACCATTTATAGTTATAATTTGAAGTTTTTTAGACCACCATTTATAGTTTTGAACAAATTTAACGGAAAACTAAAATTTTCTAAAATTTTTGACCTTCAAGCTATAAATATAGTTAGGGCAAATTGTTGGCCTATATCGGTGACCTTGAGCACTTTAATCGATCAAATTCCTGAGTAATTTAGCTTAATTAGCTTTTTGTAAACCGTTTTTACGTGTGGAAATCAGTGATAAATGAAATCCGACGTCGAATTGAGCACCTTTAATTAAATTAATTTTGTTCAAATTCGTTGCTCTTATGACCATATGGCATTAACTAATGTTCGAAACAGTCCTTTTTATCATTAAGTAAAATTTTGCCTTGCTGTTGACGTTTCATGTGTCACTTTTACTGAAAAGTTGCATCGCAGTTCACTGCTGACTAAAAACTGTTTTGAAGTTTTGGTCTTGAAGTTATTCAAAAAATTGGGCAGCAATTTTGATGCCTTTTCACTGCCGTAAGGTCATAATTGCTTCAAAACTTTTAACGTTGTCGGATAAGTTCATTAAAAACGAAAATTATAGTTGTTAGGTTAAACCCAGAA